ATCTTGCCAATGGCGCGGTCGGCGTTGCCGCTCAGCTCGACCAGGGTGCCGCACTCGCGATGCATGATGAAGACGCCCTTTTCTTTGCCGGCCTTGGAGACGGAGATGAAATCGTCGACGTGCAGAGGGCCGCTCCAAGCTTAACCACGCACAGCGAGAGTCAGTTGCCGCATGAAAATCGGGCAACGGGAGTAACTTACTGGTCCAAACGTGGGCATCCTCTGTGAAGAGATCGCGGTAGTTCTGCCACTCAGAGGCGTCACGGTAGACGGGCCATCCCTTGCACAGCTCCGAGACGGCGAGGCGGTTAAGAATCTCCTCGCTGGTGCCGTTGATGTGCGAGTAGCGCTTGGTATGAGGGTCGGCAGGGGACGTCATGGTGAACTTGAAGCGGTGCTTGGAGATCTTGAAGGGTGTATGAACAGAAAATGTTGAGAAGTTGGAGGGTTCAAGTTGGGGGAAGGAAAGACGATTTCGCATGGAAGAGCTGGTTCGCGATTTTGTGCGAAATCTGGAAGAGATTTCTCTTGAGAACTGAGAGGTTGAAGATTGAAGATTTTCTGGCAAACTTTGCTTTGTGCCTGCCCAAGTTGCTTGCTCTGCAGAGTGCTTATCATCAGGCTGAGAGTTCAGACAGAAGGTCTAGCCCGCCCTTGCTAGTGCCGTTTCTCGGCCTAGGCTGTTCACCGAAAGATTCCGATGGAGCCAGGAAGCAAGGGCGAGAGTCGATTAACAGGCGATGCCGATGTCACGGAGATCAGGTCCGGGCACCTCCTGGCTCAGGATATGGCGTAAGGGACGAAAAGGAAGAAGAAAACATCACCACGCTTTTCCATCGGTTGATTCCCAGTTCCTGCCGCTGGCGACGACCTCCATCGTAAAACACCAGACGGGACCGAACGTGGAGAACCACTAAGACAGTTCGTGCAGGAACACGGGGGGTTCTAGAAGCATCCGGGCATTGTTTTTTCTGTCTCGTGCACGATGCACAATGTTTACCAGACAAGCATCTATCACAAACCAATGGTGCCATCCATTTGAGGCTTGACATGTCACCGGTCACCCTAACATGCTCGGTGGTCGTCGGCAGTCGGTGGGGCTGCGGTGAAGCAGACGGGGAGCCGCTGCGATTCGCGACTGGGTGGCAGGGCCCAGGGGTATGGAACCGGGACTGAGATTCCGCCTGGCCGCAGCCAGTCCACCTTGCTGCATTGGCTGTTGTCCACTTGACCTGGCTTTCCTGTCTTCACCGCCGATATGAGCAACGTGGAAGTGCGGAAACTTGGCGTCTGGATGCAAGCGCACCATCGGCACATGTTTGCTTCAGCTGCGCTGGAAGTTGGATTGAGTTTGCTGGGAGTTGCATGGGTTTGATCAACCGTGGTCACCCAGCTGAGTCAGCAGGTCCCCTTGACAAAAGCGGAAGAGGATTAGGGTCTGGGAGCCTGAGAGCCGGTTGCCCCGCCGAGCCCGCTTGTCACCGCGAACCGGCGGCGTGAGATGGACAGCGAGACAGCCAAAATTTCCCGGCCTCCGACCGTCAAGACCAACCCTCCGACTTGGACAAAACCCAACACGACGCAGCAACACGACGCATCGACTCACACCGCTGGCCTCGAACCCTCTACTTCCGGGCGATACCATTACAGCGACGAGATAATCAGTCCTCACCCTGGTCATGGCCGACGCCGTCAACCACATTTCGTCGCACAGCGACTTCGACAAGCTCCTGTCGACAACACGATACGTTATCGTCGATTTCTACGCCGACTGGTGCGGGCCATGCAAGATGATCGCTCCCCACTTTCTTAAGATGGCCTCGACATACTCGATCCCAGGCTTCCTCGCCTTCGCCAAAGTCAACGTTGACAACGTCGGCTCGGTCGCGCAAAAGTACGGCGTCGCCGCCATGCCCACGTTCATGTTCTTCAAGGAGGGGAGGCAGGTTGCTGTCAACGGCAATGTCACGATACAAGGTGCGGACTTGCCGACCCTGACACAGGCGGCCGAGAAGATGGGGAAGCTGGCCAAGGAGAAGGCTGCTGCTGCCGCCGCCGCCGGGAGCTCGTAGAGAGACGGGGGACCGTCAAACCAGACACCATCCTATCGCCGAGCTCGAAGGAACACACAGGCTCTGTGCAAAGTCCTCAAGATACCGACATGGTTTTGGCGAACCGCGGGCCTGGATGGCAACAACTGCGTTCTGGCAAGTTGGCAATAGACCTCGTCCATCCACTCCCGCCTTGCCCTGCGACTTGACCTATCTGCTGTACATCCATGTTAGTAGGCAAGATGCGACGAACATCGAGAACCGATTTGTTAGTGGCACCCAGGAGACGCCACTGAGGATTTGGGTTCGAAGAACAAGCTGCCGGGTGATGTCATAGCCCCGTGCCCTGCATCCCTCTTCACGCCAGCTGCCAGATGCCCGCCCTGTCCGATCGACCAAGAGCACTTGTTGCCATCCATTTTTAAGTTTCTGACAGATCACCGACACCCGGTCTTTTGCCTCTCGAGCCTCTCAAGATTTCCCGACATCCTGCGTGCTTCTCGAGCGTAAATATGCGCCTCCAAGCCCGACCAACGCGAAATACTTCAGCAATACGACCTTGCACAAGCGAAATGGCAGAACACTCTCCGAGACGGCATACACCCAAGACACGACCGGCAGACGAGTCAGTCGCCGTCATGGGCACTCAAACGGAAGAAGAGCAAAACCCAGAGCGGCAAGGCACCTCTCTCGCAAGGGAGCGAAACTCCGGGAGTGACGGACAACTTTCCCGGCGACCACCAGCAGAAGAGGCCAACATCGTCAGAGGGCACGGCGAGGAGATGGAACCCACGCATCGGCATCATGACCGTGGAGGTGCGCCTGCTGTGAGGCTCGACATGGACCTCGATGTCGACATCAAGCTCCAGGCCAAGATCAAGGGAGACCTTGAGCTTTCTATCCTGTAGGTGTGCATACGTGAAACTGGAGCACGACCCCAGCTAACCTCCCCAGGGACTCGGAACAAGCCAGCAGCCAACGCAGCCCACGGCGCCCATCTTCCGCTTAGTCCGTCATCTTCGCCGTGTACAGCACCGGGGATGTTGGAACTCAAGGGCCCAGAAGTCGTTGCTGCAATATCACGATCCTTTGAAGGTTAGAAGCAGGACGCCATGGTAGTGCTCGGTGCTTCGTGGGATGGACTTAGCTGTTATTCATTTGACTCTTTCGTCCACTCAACACATTGGCCATACGACTTGGTGCCTGGAATCGCAAACTTGGGACTGGAGTGGTGCGGTGTCTCGGTCACCCGGTCACGCGACGCACCTGACGTAAATCGATAGTCACACCTCCCACCCACGAGTCGCGGGCGTGTTGCACCGAACATGCAACATTGTTGGCCTGCAAGAGAAATTAAATAAAAGAGCACCGTCAAAAGGGCTGCCTTGCCTGGTGGCATCTTCTCCAACACATAACCGCCGCTTTACTTCCTCTTGGCATTCTTCCCGCATCGCAATCGAAGTGATAATCACCACACCAAATACTGCAGTCCTACCGCCCCATTTGGACCACGGAGCGCAGACACCATGCCCTCATCTCGCCGGCGCAAAAGCGGCACCTCCGAGATGAAGCGGTCGAAGGAGGTGCCAGAAATCGTGCACCAACTCGGCCGCGTGGCCTTGGCCTACTCCCTCAAGAAGCTGAGCGAGCAAAAGGCCCTCTCGAACCAGCAGCGATCGCGGAGCTCCCGCCGCGGATCGAGCCACAGACAGCCCAGCGAAAAGCGCGACCATTCCAGCACCAGCAAACGCGGCACCGGCCGTGACCTGCCCCGGAGCGACAGCAGCGAGATGCACGCGCTCGCCAGCCAGCTCGCAGTCGGCGTGCTTGCCTTTGGCATCCGCCACCTTGTCCGGCGGCGGCGCGAAGCCAAGAGCAAAGCCGCCGAAGCCGCTTCGAAAACCACCGGCCAGACTGCCGGCCGAGCCGTCAACGGCAACAGCAGCAGCGGCCAGGACTCAGGAGGGAGTGCGAACATGGATTCGGAAATGTCAGCCGCGCTGGACGCTGTCGCGAAGGAGCTGCAGGGCGCGACCGAGTCGATCCAGCAGTTGGCTTACGCTGCGCCGCCATCGCATCGCGACTGTGCCGTGAGGGACGCGCTGGTGGCGGATGCCGAGCGGCTGAGCGGGTCGCTGGCGAACATGCAGGCTAGTATCAACAATATGAGGAATTTGCATCCCGGGCTGGAGGCGCGGGCGGAGAGGAGGCTATACGAGAAAGTCGGGGCGAGGGATGGGGATAGACAGGAGACCGAGGGAGTCAGGCCTAGGAATCGTCGGCGGAATGGGATGACGGAGGGTATTGGGGGAAAGGGTAGAGTAGAGGAATGGGCTGAGCGAGTGAGACACCGCAGGGGGAGGCGGACAGAGGATTCAGCTGGGGGGGAGACAGATCGAAGGCAGAGGGAGCGCGCCAGTGGCGCAGACGACGGCGGACCCCACGGCCGATCTGTCGGACGGCTCAGGAGGCGTCTGAGCAGGCGAGACGATGAGTTGCAAAGGGCCGCCGGCTTGCGCCAGTGGAGCGGTGACGGTTTCGACTGCAGTCTCGAGTGAGGAGTCGAGTTCTGGGTTGCCATGTTGGACTGTGGCCCGCCCAGTTTAGGGTTGACCCCAGCATGGCTGCCGGGAATGGTCTCGGCGTTCGTCCACCCTCCTTCGTAGGCTCGCCAGCGTCGCCCTGACACTGCCGCAAGATCGGCCACCGCTCGGTGATGCTCCTCTCCCCTAACGCGGTTGGCTCTCGGATGTCATCACCCGACTTCTACGCCTCCAACCTGTCCCGACTCACTAAAGCTTCTGTTTTCCTGCGTCTGCAGCACGCACAGGCTGCCCAACGGCCTCAACCACGGAGGTGGTCAAGCCGGGAAAACACCTTCCGTTTCGGACCCAGTCAACCCCACCGCCACCCCCTCATCTTGTCAAAATTCCGCGCAGCGACACAACCAGCCCGCATGGCTCAGTGGTAGAGCGTGTCACTAGTAGTTCAACGTGTTTCATCCGGATCCCTTGGCTTACTGGGTTAATGACAAGGTCGCTAGTTCGATTCTGGCTGTGGGCAAGCAGCCTCTCTTTCAAGGGCTTGATATCTCTTTTTTCCGTGTCTTCTTCTCAGGTGCTTTTCTTACCTCTTTGCTTCTTCACAGATTTAGAGTCAGGCCTATACATCATCATGCATCAACTGGGCCACACACAGAATGGGTTGTTGGGATTAGTCCACCTTTGTGGGAAAGGGGTTCTGCTGTTATGACTTGAATGCAGCCCGGGTCCGCGAGCATTATGGTAGTTAGTCAAATTAGTAGAAGAGGTTCTCTTTGCTCTCAACCACAAGAGCGTGTAGATGTGACTAGCAGATGCTGTTCTTGCACATGTGCATACAATCTTGAACTTGGACTGTATCCCAAGCCTCTCCATGCTAATTGCCTGCCCAAAGCTGGCCGGCCAAACTCCCTTCCTGTAATCATCATGAAACGACATAATCACAATGGTGTTGCATGAAAAACAAAGACCGAATTAAGATACCACGTCGTTCCAGTATGCTACTTCTTTGCCAGAAGAGGATTGCAGAAAGCGGGTGCCTCTTCGAGTCGGTTTGGAAGTGTCGTCCCCCAGCCATTTCGGTGTTCATCATGAGCAGGTCAGGTTGCTGCTTGGCTGTTATTGTCATCGTCACAGGTGCCCTCGAGAGTAATGGAGTCAGGGGCGTTGTCCGTGGGAAGGCGGTGGTGCCGAATGGTTGTGAGTGGGAGGTGCGCGAGTGCGTTGGGAAAGGTTAGTGTCTGGTGGATGAGCTTGGAAGAAACAGGGTGCGTGGGATACCCATGGGCTGGCTTTGCTGCCTCGCTGCATTCGCGTGGACGGTGTCATGGGACGGACAGTGGGCAGTGTGGAGGGGCAGCTTGCTCGTCACTTGGATGCGTGCAGGCTTGATGGTGGGTGACACTCGGTGCGGGGGCTTCGGGCCTCACAACTGACCATGGCAGCTTCACAAGTGAGGTGAGACTTTTGATTCGGCTGGCCTAAGCCTGAATATCTGATCTCCTGGCGAGTGTTTCCGGGGTGCAAAAGGAAATGAATTGTGACAGTAACTTAAAACGGTGAGTTGGGTTGCGGCAACGGCAATGCTTGTGATTCAGCCAAACTGAGGTGCGTCGACAACTTTGAACGCTCGACGGACCTCACACAATCAAACACTTTTCCCGCATATCTTTCAGCTCCAGCAACCAGTTCCTCTTGCCCCTGCCGGCCGGGTCCTGGTCCCTCACCTGCCAGAGATGCTGCATCTTCCGCACGGCCGTCCGTATGTACCCCCACGGACAGATCAGGGGGGCGTTATCCCACACAACCTCGAGGCGTTCGGTGCACCAGGCGCGCTGGGCCGGGTCATCGGTCTGCGCGCCGACTAGGAAGGTGGGCCACATAGTGCCCTTGAAGAGGACATTTTTGATAGGCACGGCCGCCAGGTGATCCAGCACCTCCTGCACGAGCAGATCCACCGCCGAGGGCGACGGGGCGGCCGCGGGCACGGCGAGGAGGACGTACAAGCACGCGGTCGCGCGGTGGGCGAGGGCCAGGCTGACGCGGACGCCCAGGTCGTCGTGGGGAGAGAGGCCGCGGATGCTGTACACCCACTCGACAACGTCAAGAGTCCTGGCTCGGTCAAAAAGGGACAGACCGTCTTGGATTTTGGCTGGTTCGGGTTTGCTGGTGGCGTGCAGCAGTTTGCTGGCCGACAGGAGGATCTGGAGGATCTCGGGCGGACAGCCGTGGTAACTGTGGGGCTCGGCGCGCTTCAGGATGGACAGGAAGTTGGATAGGTCGTGGTCGGCCCACGAGTCCAGCGGCACGCCGCTAATGGCGGACCCCGTGACGCGGTAGGTTAGGCAGTCGGCGGCGATGGCGTCGACGCACGCCCTGAGGGACGGGTCCAGGTGGGACATGGGGTCGCGCAGTAGGAACGGCATGAGGGCGCTGGCGGCTTCCATGTGGACCTGCCAGCCGCCTTGGCCCGAGTCGATCAGGTCGAGGTTGACGAGGAAGACGATGGCGGCCAGCACCATGGCATGGCTTTCCGGCGTCACGCCGTCGACGGCAGCGCGGAGCAGTCGGATGGCCTTGTCCTTGGCGACCAGGGCATCGATGAAGAGCTTTGGGCCTCCGGGCTGGTGCTCGTGGGAGCCGCCGTGAAACGCGTACAGGTGCATGGCGCCTGTTGCAATAATGATGGCGTTTAGGAAGTCGAATTTGCTCGCCAGGGGCATGAGCGAGCGGTAGGGGTTGCGTTCGGGTTGGTCGAACGAGACCAGGTCCCGACACACAGCCGTCGCGACTGCAGCTCAGATGTGAGTATCGAATCGACAATTGGGGTAGCTGCTCAAGTTTCACGGGTGGCTTACAGTGATGGGCATATTGCCTTGCCGTTCGATTGAGATGGTTCAGCAGCGGATCCAGGAGAGACGGATGGACGGAGAGTGTCAGAGAAGCGCCATTACGATGTCCGTCGCCTGCTGGGTTTGCTCTCTTACGGTTGGGAGCTGTCAACTGCCCAACCAGATGCCCGCGAACTGCCGGGGCATTCGCCCAGCGCAAGAGGGTGCCATAGCCGAGACAGTCCTCACCGCGTATCCAGCATTTCCGGCACGAGGGGCGCGATCTGTCACAGCGAAGACGGCGGCGGCGGCAGTTGTGACAGGCCTTGTTGGACTGTGCTCCTACCAAAACGGTGCTGGGCCCGGTCATAGAGATGGCGGACAATCAGGCCCCGTTCCAGGCCATGCGGCAGAAGGCTGGGAGTCGGTGTCGGATGTCGTCGGCCTGTGGCGATTTCTCACGTTCACCTCGAAAAGCGTGACAGGAACTTGGGAAGTCGAAGACAGTGGAAAGTGACGTATTCCACGCCACTTGCTCGGCTTCTGCAGTGACCACCGGGCTAGATCTCCACATGGCAAAAACTGCGCTAAGCCAGAAACAGCACCAAAATTGCACAGTTTTGCGCACACATCGGGGACCCAACGCCTTTGGCTTAGAAATCGAGCATCTGCCTCGTTAGAGTTGGCATTTATCGGCAGAAGAGTTCATTTCTGCGTCGGACGGATGAAAGCCAATGTATTGGAGAATGTAGAGCGTACTCTTACACAGTAGAGTGTCCCGACTTCGGAGAGAGGTATCAGAATGGTGTCGGTTTTCTGTGGAGCCGTATGTTCCACGCTAGCCCAAAATGATATTAAATCCTCAACTGCTGCAGTTCTGGTTTTGGTCTCCATAAAGTTTCGAGGAAAAACTGTGACTAATGGCTTTGCTTGCACCTTTGTGTGTTGCTTTTCACTTGTATAAGAAACGCGGAGCATACGACATGCAGGTTCGTTCCATCAGGTCAAATTATTCGCTGGCTATGGACACTGCATCGGCTTTGGCACCATTTCTTCTTTGCTCACCACCAGTCCACCACAGCGGCCACTTGAGACTTGAGAACAGTTAGACAACATGACGGGCGACTTGAAGCCGCGAGACATCGAGAACAACAACCCGAACATCTCATCAGGCTCTGACAATAATGACGCCGTCGACCTCGAGCTGCTCGGCCGCCAGAGGCCCGCCGTGTTTCAAAACCTGCTGATCGAGGTTTTGTTTTGCAGTTCTCTGCTCGTCTCCATGTTCATGTCGGTACGTGTTGACCCAAGGGAGGCCACTGAGTTGAGGGGAAAGGAGAGGAGAAAAGAAAGAAAGAAAACGTGCTGACCGGCCAGGAATTCTTCATCTCGGGCTTCAACATCATCCTGCCCAACGTCGCCAACGCCCTGGAAATCCCCAAGGGCTCGCAAACGTGGCCTGCTAGTGTCTTTTCCCTCGTCACGGGTTCCTTCCTGCTCCCCGTCGGCCGCCTGGCTGACATCCACGGCGCCTACATCGTCTTCAATGCCGGGCTCGTGTGGTTTTCGGTCTGGTCTCTCATCTCGGGCTTCAGCGTCACTTATCAGATGCTCATCGTCGCCCGCGCTATTGGCGGTCTCGGCCCCGCCGCCTTTCTGCCCACGAGCATCATGCTGCTCGGCAAGACGTACCGTCCCGGCCCCCGGAAGAACCTTGTGTTTGGCCTCTGGAGCGCTTTCGCCCCGATTGGTTTCTACTTGGGAATCATCACAGGCGGCGCCACCACGCAGTATATGTCTTGGCGGTGGTACTTCTGGCTGGGTTCTATCGTCACCTTCCTCACCTGCCTCGTCTCCTTCATCACCATCCCCCGCGACAGGGCGCAGACGCGCGCCGAAAATGCTCACGTCAAGATGGATTATTGGGGCACCGCGACCATCGTGCCGGGGCTGATCCTGACCACCTTTGCCATCACAGACGGCGCCCACGCCCCGCAGGGCTGGCGGACCCCCTACATCATTGCCACCTGTGTCTTGGGCGTGTTGTTTCTAGCGGCTGCCATCTATGTCGAGGGCTGGGTGGCCGAGCAGCCGCTGCTGCCCTTTGACCTCTTTAAGCCAAAGTACATGGTTCGCCTTTCGGTCGCTCTGTTCTTTGCCTACGGCGTGTTTGGCATCTTTTTGTTCTATGCCAGCTTCCAGTAAGCCCTCCTGAGCCATCCCTTCCCGATCACGAAGCAGGAAAGCTAACATACCTCAGCATCGGCGACTACATGGGCCAGTCAGCCCTCACGACCGCAGTCTGGTTCACCCCCATGGCCGCGGGTGGCCTCATCCTGGCCACGGTCGGCGGCTTCACCCTGCACCTACTCCCCGGCAGGCTTCTCCTCATCTGCTCCGCCTGCGGCTATCTGGCGTGCTGCCTTCTCTTTGCCTTGGTTCCCCTCGACGCAAACTACTGGGCCTACATCTTCCCTGCCATGCTCGGCTCCACCATCGGCGTTGACATCACCTTCGTGGTCAGCAACGTCTTCATCACCACCAACGTCGCGAGGGAGAGGCAGGGAATCGCGGGGGCCCTGATCAGCAGCCTCCTCTTCGTCGGCATTAGCTTCTTCCTCGGCCTCGCCGACCTGGCCGTGTCTGAGGACGAGAAAAGGGGCGGCACCCAGGGCCACAGGGTCGCCTTTTG